CTGCCCCACACGAAGGGAACATCACAGGGGGACGTGGGGATGGGGTTTCTCTGAGGCACCGCTGACAAAGGGAAGGCATTTTTATAACCCGGGGGTTTCCACCCAAATGAAACACTTGAGTGCTCAGTGAAAGCTTCCCCTGGAGTCTGTAGCTGTCTGAGTCAGCACAGATTCACTTTTGCCAACCAGCCTCAGCTTTCCCATGGAGATGCTCCGATGGTTTGGGCTGCTTGTGCCTCCAGAGCCTCAAAAACTCCCCATCCTGCTCACACTTTGCCCTGCTCCCTTTGAAAAGCACTTTTTGAGTGCCTTGGGAGCAGCAAGCATCCCAGCAGGATCCAGGGAACTGCTCAGCTGCAATCTCTGCTCCCCAGTGCTGGTGGGCACAGCTGGAGGGAATCAGGGGTAACCACTAGATGCAGAAAAGGTAATTTAAGTGAGCTCCCACCACCCAGGGCTCTGGGAACAGCAGCACGAGGGCTGTGACTTGGTGTTTGCTTGAGTCTCCAGAGTAAATTGAAATCCTGAGGAGTGTATTTGATGCTGAGTATCTTGTTTGCTTAATAGAACCACATCCTTCTCGGTGCAGGTGAGCATTTTTGCAGCCTTTACAGCATGTGGGTCAAGTACCGTTTATAGCTGTGTAATTGTTGCCACTCTTTTCTTTACCAGCGCTCGGGTAAATCTTTTAACTACACGTGTTGTTTGAGGTGAGAGATTTAAACAAGCTTAATTTCTCAGCCTCTAGAAAAAAGCACGTTGAAAGGCTCCCTGCAATCCTGCCTGCTCTGCCAATCTCTGCTTTATCAGCTGGGGTGCTAAAATCCTCAGGATGGGTGAGATGAATCTTAATTTCAGATATTCGATACTCTGAGGCTGGAGTCTGACCTGCTCACCCCGGGCTCCTTGTGCAGTCGCTGATGGAAATAGGTGTCTCCAGAAGGTGATTCATCTCCCTGCTCTCTATCTCGGGGGTGAGACGAATTGCCCTCTGGAAGCGCCTGCTTCCTCTCTCTCCGTGGCTGTAAAGGCAGCCTAGAGCAATTGGCTCACAATTAGACACCTAAAAGTTAGACGTCTGAGCCCAGGCAGCCGAACCCCCTGCCTGGTGTCTGCCTGGCACTTTTCCCCCATCTCCCGTTCAGCTGTTCCGAATTTCCCTCCCAAATGCGCTGCAGCAGAAAACTGATTCCCTGTGGGAATTCCCCAACACCTGTTCGAGATTGAAATCACCTCCTAATTCCCCCGGCCCTTCCAAGATCAAACCGTGGGGTGAATTAAGTGGGGTGGGGAGGGGAACGAGGTGATCCCCTCGGGTCGCAGCGCTGTTGGGGTGGCTGGGTGAGAAGCTGCCTGTCACCTCCCCCCCTCCCCGAGGTGACACTGCCTGGAGAAGATGAAGGAGCGCTGCAATCTGGATTTTCCTTCTCTCCCCATTACGGTGCTTTCATCCCCGAGTGCCTGACTGGCTCCGCAGCTCCCAGCGGGAATCGTGCTGCTCCTGGTACAGCTCCCGTCTCTCTGCTTTTCCAGAGCAAACGCCGCGTCCCGGGATTTGGGGGGGGGGGAACAGGCAGAGGGTGGGGGTGTGTAAGTTGTCCGGAACTGTTCTGCTTCTCCCATCCCCAGAGAAACCTCCCCAGGCAAACTCGCACCAGATCTGATGCCAGTGCTATGCAAAACAGCTGCCAGGTGAACCAAGGAGAGCTGCACGGTCCTAGTCTGCCCTGCTAAGCCGAGCTTATCGCTGCCTTTCCCCTCCCCACACCCTCCCCCTCCCCCAATCCTGTCCGGAACACCCAGAAAGAGCCCTGTTTGTGCGGGAAGCTCCTGGGAATTGCAGTGCAGGAGCTCAGGGCAGCCTTTCCCGGTTGAAATCTCAGGGCTTCCCCCGGTTTGATGCAATTCAAGGAGGGCAGGACTGCATCTTGCAGATGCTGGAGATTTTGGATCCCATTGTGTCTGGCTGGTGTAGCAAGAGGCAAGTTGTTGGCTGGGCTGAAGCTCCATTAAAATTAGTGGAGTTCTGGCAGTTTACAGCAGGAGAGAATCTGCTGCCACTTACACTTTTCTTTCTTTTTATCTCCTGGAGCTAGAAAAGATAAAATCTTAAGTGCAGAGTGTTTGAACAGCCCGTTCCTTTCAGGAGAGGAATGACTGCTGCAATGTGAGTCCTGAATGTTGACAGAAACTGGGAGGAAACTGAGTCTATTTTTAAAATATTTGCAGGAAAGTTACTGATTTAGCTGAAAGGGGAGAGTTGTTATCCCTATCACACCCAAACCTTGCCTTGCAGCTGGAAACACTTTAATTTTACATGAAGTGAAATAGAAAAAGACCAGATTTGTTTGCAAATAAATCTGTGCACAAACACTGGCTGGTCCTGCTGAAGCCTTGAAGAGATTTGTGTATCCAGCTCCCATTTACATAACCACTGGGAGCACAAATCACCTCGCCCACTTCTAAATATCTCACTCTTGGACATCTAAGCCCCAACTAGTTGCCCCTGGGTCCCTTGGGAGTCAATTAAGAGGAATAGTCATCTCCAGAGGGCCATTCATCTCAGCTGGAGATGGGTGTCTGAGATAGGTGGGATGAATGGCCTCTGGAGGTGCCTATTGCTCCTCACTGTCTACCCAGGCAGCCCGGGGCAGTTCTCTCAGACTGAGACACCCTGAGTTACCCCTGAGTTAGTGTCGGTCTCCAGGAATATTTGCAGTCACAGAATTCCTGGCTGAGGTGCTCCTGGTCCCCCCTGTTGACCTGCAGTGGGTAGAACTTGGAGGATGCTGTGTCTGACCTTGCAGGAGAGGCAGGGGCGAAGGCAGGTCAAAGTCTGCCTGTGCAGGGAGGAAAAAGAGGTGGGAAGCTTGGAGGAGGAGGAGGAGGAGAAAAGACTGTGCAGGAGAAGTGATGTGCATGGAAACTGTTCCAGCTGCACATCCCAGGTTCCAAGTTTTGGGGTGGATGGCGGTGACTCAGACACCTTCACCAGGACCTAGGGATCTCCCTCAAGGCCTCTGAATGTTGCCTCATCAACATGCTGCACTTGAACCGTGAGTGCAGTTCCTTTATCCAAGAAACCAGGAGATTACCTTTTCCTTCCTGTTCTATTTTAGCGACTGGGAACTTTTACTTCCTCCCTCTCTCTCCGGCTTTTCTTCCCTTTAGCTCCTGCCTTCAGATTGCATCAACCCCCCCTTTCCCCCACCCCACACCGTGGGTTTCAAAGGTAGAAACTGCAGGCCTTGAAGATCCTCCTGGAGTCCTGCTCAGGTGTGTGGATGCTGATTGTGATCATCCATTAGCACTATCAGCATTCCCATCGGTTGGATGTGCAGTTGTTGGCTCTGGAACGCAATGAATGAACCCGATGATTCCCGGGGCGGGAGCAGCTGGAGAGAGGTGGTCAGGGAGCAGATGGCTACAGGGAGGGGGAGAGCACGTGGCAAGCTGGAGGTTGTAGCAGGAGCAGGGAATTGCATGGAAGGAGATAAAGACCCGAGATTGGGAAGAGAGAAAGCTTTGAGGAGCAGGTCGGGAGGAAGGCAGGAAGCGAGGGCAGGCTGGAGCAGAGCAGAAATGCAGCCAGGCTGGGGGAGAGGGCACGGAGCTGGATCGTGGTTGAGGTGCAGATGGTGAGGAGATAGAGGGAGATCTCAGAGCTGATGGGGGCAACAGCTTGTTCTGCTGCTAAACAGCGCTGTGGCAAAGTCCTGCAGCTCAGTTTTCACAGTCAGTGCTGCTGAACATTTCAGATTAAAATCTCCAGAGCTGTTTCTAGATAGCAGAGAGCAGGCTGCCATGAAACTGTTATCGTTGACTCTCAAATATTTTGCCATCCATGAGTAATTGTACCGAGCACACTCCCCCTGAGGATCTCAGAGGGCCACGCTGATTCACCTGGGAATGCTCTGTGCATGGAAAACTGCAGGCTGGATTAGGGCAAAGGCTTGTACAGCTGAGGAGAGCAAGTCCAGGGGAGAGCTGGATTTGCACTCCTGCCTGCACAGCCTCTCCCAGCTGCTTTCCAACTTTTTTGCAGGAGACATGAACTACTGAGAAACACGATGTGTTGAAGCTTGATCAGATCACAGGGCACGGGCTCTGCTTTCTGGGGAACGTTATACTGGAAAAAACAGGAGGAGGGGCCCCCGAGGGCTTGTGTTGGTGGGATGTGAACAATTTAAGGCTGTTTATCACAAACTCGGTTGGAGTGGAAGAGAATGACTTGGGGAATGCATTGCAAAGGGAAGGGGTTTCTTGGGGTTGCCTTTGCAGCTGAAGGGCTTCGTGGAATCCCTTAAAGCATTCATATCTGTGGAGAGTACAACCTTTCCTCTGTGATGTTCTTGATGAATTTGGCAGGTGTGATGGAGGGGGGGGGGGATGTTTATCATCAAAGGGGAATGAGTGAGGGCCTGTGCGGTACCTTCAGGCTGAAACCTGTCTGATTTTTCCCCCTGTGCCTGCCAATCTCTTCTGGAATCAAGGAGACGCCTCTCGAGCACAACCCCACGGCACCCTCTGTTCCTCCAGATATCCCATAATTACCCAGTGCCACACGGGTTCCTGAAGATCCCAGGCTCACAGCCCTGGCCACCTGTTTGCTGGCCTTTCCCACAGTTAGTCCAGGCTTTGGGTGCAGTGCCTTAGTCCTGGGTTTCCCTGGATTCCTGTGATGTCCTCCCGCTCACCCCTGCTGGAATCTCCCTTGCAGTCAGGGAGATTTCCCCCACCCTTTTGTGCTTGGCCAGGTATCTCCCAGGAAGAAACACTTCTATTATCCTTCAGCAGAGGCTGATACCATTAAATGTCGTAAAAGCTGATTTCATCCTTCCACTGCTGCGTTCCCAGTGACTCCCCCTTCCTCCTCCTCTCCTTGCTCTGAGCTGAGCCAGCCCCATGGCTGTGGGTCCATGTGTTCTGAGTTCTGGAAGTCTCCCATCAGTGCTGACTGTCACCAATACTGAGATGTTTCTCTGTTTGTTTCCTTGTAGGCAATGAACAGAATGGGCTGGACTTTAACAGGCAGGTAAGACTCTCCCTGGGTTCCCAGGTATTCTCCTGCTTTCTTGAATGACTGTTTTTTAATTGCTCATCATGCCGAGTCCCAGGCAGCTCCTGCTGAGAGATAAAAACTGTTAGGGCAGAAGCTGCCATTAAACAGACCACAGAACTTCTTCCCAATTCCCCTTGTGGGATAGAATGACAGATTACACCTCTGGTTTCCCTCTTCCTATTTCATAGAAGTTCAGCTAATTACAGAGTTTCTTTAAATGACCACTTGCTCAAGGGTTTTGCTGGCCTTTTCATTTTATTTTTTTTATTATTATCACTTAGAAACAAAAGGCAGCTCAGTTAGAGTGGCAAATGTGCAAATCCCTCCCCAGAGCCCCGTGCACTGTGACAATGAAAGCGCTGTGGTATGCGAGGATAGAGGTACAGGGCTGACTCACAGGAGTATCAGCAGGGACTAAAGATGAGGTGGTTTGAGGTCTTGGAGTGTGTGTGGGTCAAGACCAGGCCTGCCTACCCCAGATTCCTCTTTGCAGGGCAGTGGGGAAAGGGACAGCAGATAAAGCTGCTCGAGTGCAGGAGGGACCGTGGTCTCTGCTGTGTTTGCTCTTCTCCTGCTCTGTGCAGCTCAAACCAACCCCTCAGTCGGTTTTTTGCTAAAAACAACTCACTGAGTGCCCGCAGATTTTCATATGTGGCTCTAAGAAATCCCTGAGTGTCACCTCAGAAGGTGACAGCTCTTCAATCTGTGCAGACATAATGTGAGGGTGGGCAGGCCCTGGCACAGGTTGCCCAGAGAAGCTGTGGCTGCTCCGTCCCTGGAAGTGTCCAAGGGAAGGCTGGACAGGGCTTGGAGCACCCTGGGCTAGTGGAAGGTGTCCCTGCTTGTGGCAGGAGGGTGGAATAATCTGATGTTTAAGGTTCCTTCCAGCCCAAACCATTCTGGAATTCTATGAAAATGCTCTCTGAGTCCAGAGCTGAGGGCTCCCGTGGCCACCAGGGCTGGGCTCAGAACCTGTGAAACAAAAGAGGAAAATCAGCCTGAGAAACCTCCCCTGAGCTGCTGCAGGACTCTGGGGGGTGGATGGGGAGCTGGTGCCAGGGAAGCAGAAGGGGCTGTAACTCCATGGACAGCCACGAGCACTCACAGCAGACGTTGGCAGCACAGCAACCTCCCTGCTCCCAGCTCTGAGCTCGAGGCTTGCATCCCTTTCCAAAGGCTCCCTGCTTGCAGCAGGGGGGCAGCTGGACCTTCTCAGGGTGGCTTTTTTTGGTCCTGCAAGCCCTGCCCCGGTGGCTCTTGCCTGACACATGTCAGAGAGCTGCTGTTTGTTTGTTTGCCTTGGCTGCTCCGGCTCTGGGTGGGTCGTAACTTCCCAATCAAAGGTGTCTTAACACGCTCAGCCATCTTCCAGGTTTTTGGAATACCCAGCTGAAAACAAAAAAAGCCTTGTGTCTCCAGCTCTGTGGATTGCAGAGCCCAGAGCACAGGCTTTCCACACGCCAGGAGAGGAATCCAATCTGCTTATAAGTGCAGCGATAAAAGAAAATTCCCTCCAGATAGAAATGAGCACGAGATCGTTCCCCCGGCGCAAACTTTTCCTATGGCAACACCACAAGGATTGTTGGGGCTGGAAGCTGGGCTGGGGTTAATCGAGGAGACTTGGTTGACTGTGGTGGAGCATCAGAAGTCATCTGACCCCCTGTTTTTAAGGTCCTGGTCCTCTTCATGTCACTGGTGGTGAAGTTTTGGGGGGGGGGGGCAGGCGGGCTTGCTCTCAGTAGAGTTGGCTGGGTAGAAACTTCTTCCTCCTGAAAAGAAGTTGTGGTTCTGTTTGCCAAAATCTGTTTTGTCAAAGGGTTTTTGTAGCATCCACTTCCCACTGCTGGTTTGGTTTTGGTTGTTTTTTTTTCCTCTTAAAACAAAGGGGCGACACAAAATCTTGTTCATTTGTGCCAGCACCTCCCTGTGAGTGAGTAGCAAACCTGACTGGGGATTTCACAAGATCTGCAGAGCAAAAGGCTGTGAACAAGCTCGTTTTATTGTTTGATTTTATTTTTAATCTGGTCCAAAGCCCCACTGTCTGCCCAAGGGGTTTTGCAGTGATGTCAGGGATGGGGGTGTAACAGTCCGGGAGTGGACACAGGGCTGTGCAAGTGGCTCTTTGTCTCCCTCTCTTGGCTCTCTCAAGGCCATGTGTAGACTTATTTAAAATTATTTAAAATAATAATTATTATTTTGAATTATTGTTATTTAAAATAATAATAATAACAACCATTATTATTATTATTTTAAATTATTATCTTAAATGAGCGTGAGCCCGAATGCACACGGGTTCCACGCTCACATTTCGGGTTGACCTCAGCTGTTGGTGAATTCATCCACAATTTAGCAAATAGATTTCAAAATGACAAGAAAAAAAAAAAGAAGGAAGAGAGGAGAGAGATGGAAATATCAAAGTGTTTTCATGTAAAATCAGGTGCTGAGCTCTTTCATTAGGGGTGGAGGTTGGTGGGTTTTTTAATTTGGTTTGGGGTTTGAGGTTGGCTTTGGGTGGCTTTTTTTTCTTTTTTTTTTCATTAGCTTGCAATTCAAGTTTTCAACCTGAAGCCAGAGAAGGATGGTTTGAAACCCAACTCCAACCTGACTGCAGGAGCTGCTGAGCTGCCTTTGACTTTATTTGGAGTGCTGGGCGCTAATCACTTTGAAGATCATAAATCTCACATCATTTAAGCCTCTCCCCCAGTCTTTGTAGATGGCCTACATTTCAGGTCTGCTTCCCTCCCATGTTACGCTCCAGGCGGGAAGAGAAGGGTGGAGTGACCTGGTTAGACCCCTTCCTTGCCTACCAATTCCCTGCTGTGGCTGCTCTCACCCTGCAAACGGGGAGGAGGGAAACTCTTTGCGGAGTTTGAGGTTTTCTTGCAGTTTGTGGGTCAGCCCTGTGCTTTATGAGAAAGCTCCTTCTGATCCCTCAACCTATTTGGCAAACGTTTCTTCCCCCCTCCTCTCCCTCCCCTCCCCTCCCCTCTTCAAAACTCTCCTCCCACCTGGATGCAACAGTAATTTGTATGTGAATGAGAGGGGAAAGGGTGTGTATGGAAAAAAGAGCATCTTCTGCCTTGCCTATCTGGTTTGGCTTTTCAGCCAGGGAGTCTAATGCTGGTTGTTTCCTGTTTATATCAAGGGAAATGCAAAGAGACAGTAATAAACTTTCACCTTCGGTGCTGGCAGCATGGATAGGGACATCTGCCTCCTGATGGTTTGGGATCGTGGCCAGAGCGTGGCAGGGACTGAACTGGGTGACTCTGCCAGCGAGGTTTGAGTTTTGCCAGGGAAGGGCATGGAGGGGGACCAGGAGAAGGGCTGGAAGTGTTGGAAATGGGAGCTTTCCCTGGCTCTAATGTGGTGATCCTCCCCAGGTGCTGCTGTGGTCTCCCCAGGTCTGGTTTGGTTTAATTCCTGGTCTCCTCAGCCTTTAGGAAATACTGTCTGGTTTGTTTTTGTAGCTGGCTCCGAAGGGAGCTGTTCTAGAGAGCCAGGTGTCTGGAGCTAATCCCTGGGATATTCCTGCCTTCTGGAGTACACACACGGAGCTGGGGCTGATGGTTTTTGGGAGATGCCAGGGCTTGTGTGCCTGGTGTGAGGGTTGCAGCCCAGCACGCAGGGATGAGCATTGATCTGCAGCTGGAGGAGGAAAAGGCACAGCTGCTGAATCCCCCATGGCTTTTCCATCAGCAAAGTGATGTGCAGGACCACGCTGGTCCTTGCAGTGGCACAGCCTGGGTGCCAGGGAGGGAATGCAGGCTCAGATCTCCTCTCCTCTCCAAGCCCTTCCTGCTCTCAAGCCCTGAGCTGCTTTCAGTGCTGGGAGAGAACATGTCCCTTTGGAAACCAAGCTGAAAGGTTCTGTGTGAGCAGGGGCTGGCAGGGCTGAGCAGGATCTGCATCTGCTCCATATCCAAATATGCCATGCACCTTCATTCCAGCAAAAGGCTGACCCTTGCAAGACAGGCTGTCATTTGTTTATCCAACCTGTCATTACCATTAATCAGATCGATGTGAAGGTGCTCCTGCTGTGAGACCTGACAATATTTAAGGCAGTCAAGCAGGCACTGATGTCCTTGAGCAGGACTCAGCACAGCTTCAATTTTACTGTTGGCTCTTTGCTGCCATTCTTTGTTTTCCTTGGTTGACACCAATCAGGGAATGCAATGAGGATAAATAGCTCTTTCTAACAGGCTTCCTAGAAAGCCTTTCCAACCGGGTCTGTTGAAAAATTCCCCCCTTCTAAAACCAGGTGAAGGATCCTGCGTGTTACTGCCCTGCAAGAGGGCTCCCCTCCCTCAGGACCTCCTTGTCCCAACTCATCTCCCTGCTCTGTTCATATCTGACAGTCACTGTCCGAGGAAACTTTAATTTTTTAATTTATGTGGGATTTTCAACGGTCGCTTTGAGGTAAAGAGGGTGGGTTATCTCAGGTCCTCCCAGCTGATGTCCTGTAGACACACATGATGTGAGAAAATAAAGTGGGCAAACTGCACCTGAGATCCGGAATCTCTGGTGGCTCGTTTTTCAGTGCCATTAATAACACTCTGACCTTGTTTGGTGCTTTCCACCCACACGTCTGAAGGCACTTTTGCTAATGGATTTTAGCATCCCTGTGCCTCTGGAAGGTGGGGAGGTGTTTTAGCCCTGTCTTACAGACACAGACTGGCTTTTCCCAAAGATGCTGAGCGCTGTGATTGCAGTTGAAATCAGGGGATGCTTTTATGGGACAGTTGCCTGTGGTCATTGGGGTGTATTGAAATCCAGGGACCTGCTCCCTGGCAGAGCTGGGAGATGGACTCTGGTTCTCTGATTCATAGTCTTGTGCTCAACCACAGACGAGTTCTTCCTCCCCTCCATCCTTTTGAAGGTGGAAAGAAGGGCCTACCTTGCTGGGTAGTTTGTTATTAATATCTGGGATGCAAAACTCCCTGCAGATTTAATTTTGCTCCACCAGGGCTTCCCTC